ATATCGTATATATATCTCATGAAAGGGAAAATGATCCTATTTAATTGAATTCTCATTGACTTCTCGGAATTCAATCAAATCGTATCTCCCCCCCTTGGAATAGATCTGATTTCTTTGTCGATATGAATTTCCAAATTCGTGACTTTAAGATTATGATCCTTGATATGGGTGAAATGCCGAAATCTACTGAAAAATAGAGTATATCTTGATATGGATTATCAGCTCCGTTTTCAGTTGTGCCGATGCGGCCCAAATTTTGAACGACTCGAAGGCCCATCCGTTTTTCAGATTTCCTTCAAGTCGTCACGTCTTTGGCCGGCAGCGAGGCACATGGTGCGCTTCATCATGTAGGGAATCGAAAGTGTTCATGGAGTGTAGCTTCTGTTATGGAGTATAGCTTCTGCCAAGAGACTCTTTAAACAACCCAAGCCCCTGTACTCCGGCTGCTTCTGCTATTCAGGATGCTATCATGGCTACAACAACTGCTACTTTGCCCTCACTGCTATCACCATGCTTACAGTATTTCTTCTACTGCCGTGGCTGTGATTCTGACATCGGCCATCGCTTTCACGTTGGGTTATGATCAGCCCTGGATTCATTTCATTTCGTTTCTCTTTCCGCTCAACACTGCTGCCAGCAATGCCTGAGATGCCAGGATGTTTAATCCTCGGTGGCACTGTAGTCGCTTCGCTGTCTCCCGTCTCTCTCATACGCGATTCGATATGCATCAATCTGTAGCTACTGAGAAGCAGATCCATGAGTAGCTTCTGCATGATGACCCACAGGCAAATACATAGCATCAGCAATATGGAGAACGGTTCTTCATTTGCCTGATTGGTATCTGTCACTGCCCATCATCATCGTAGTCGTCGCTTTCGTCGTCCTCATCCTCGCGATCCTGCTCCTGTTCCTCTTCTTTCAAGAGGTTGCCGCAGCGAATACGGCTTCTCAGACTCATCATCGTATTTGGTCACAACCGTTATCGTCATTCTGATGTTCGAACTCAATCATCCAATCGATACGCCCGCTACATTTTTGACATCTTGACGACAGGAAGTGTTTCTTCGCAATTCCTTATCCAACCAATTAAGTTCTGAATGCCAGTGCTGCTAAACTTCAGCTTAAGGGCTTGAAGCTTAGGGTTCCGGGAAGCCGCCGCCGGCCTCAAATCCTGGTCCTGTGAAGTTGTCGTGAAGGATGCGAGGTGTTCTCGGCACCCTCTCTTGCATTAGCTTTCTACAGGGAGGGGTCCCTTCTTGTTTTGACAGTGTGCAGCGACAGAAACCCTTTACCCTAAACCTCCAAAGGCATGAATCCCGAAATTCTACAGAGGGGAGTCAAGACGTCATCTTATTCCGAGAACGCTTGAAAATACCCACAGGTGGCCAAACCAATTAGAGTTGCTGAACACTCCGCTTCGAGGTGACTTGGAGGTTCATGGGTAGTGATACATGGAGGTTTAAGTCTCATAATCTGGAGCACAACTATAGCTATCCTACTTAGCACCCCACTTACAATTATGACTACCCATGAACCTCCAAGAACTTGCATTGTTATTACTGTTATGACTAGTTATGACTATGATGATGATGATGCCAATTTTTTGTATACTATTGCTAAACCTCCACGTAGGGCTGCCTGTCCTATCTTAGACGCCATGGGCATCAGCTTCCGAGGACTTTGGAGGCATCGATGCAGACCAGGTGCCCAGCTCATCCTGAGTTTTCGGGTTTATAGAAATTGTTAAGGGTTCGGATGCCAAGAAGTTTTGACCGAAGGTTTTGACCGACAAGTTTTGACCGAAAGCTTTGACCAGGTTTTCCGACTGAAACCTGATTTTGGAATGAGCGGAAAGGGGCTGGGGGCTGTGGCTGCGTTTTCTTTTGGGCGGGAGTTTTGACTGGTGATTTTGCGACTGGAACCCGATTTTGGTGGCCTGGGATGGCCGGGGAGGTCGGGGGGTGGGGTGGGGTGGGCGCTGGCCACTCAAAAGCACGTTTTGAATTTGTGGGGGGCTGGGCGGCCTTTGGAGTTTGCCTGTTGTGGGGGCGGGGGGCTGGGGGGCTTGGGGGGCTGCGGGGCTGGGCTGCCGGAGCGAGTTTTGTGGGTGGGAGGGGGGGTAGGTTTTGTGACTGAAGCCAGATTTTGGATTGGTGGAATTCTGTGGCCGAAACCAGATCTTGAATTTGTGGAGTTTTGCGACTGGACCTGATTTGAATGTGAGTGAGTTTTGTGACTCGACCCTGGTTGTGGACTGGGTTAGGCTTGAAATTGACGGTTTAAGGGGGCTCAGCGCAAGCAATGACAAGCAATTTCTATTTAATGTATTTCTTCCTTGAGGGTTTGAGGAGTACCTCAATTCGTTGAGGTTATAAGTAATTATCTATCTGAAAAACACTATTAGAACTACAATGGAACTGATCTTTAAAACATTCTGGTTGGTTTGATATGGAAAAAATGTCAATAATCCTGTTTCGACAACAGCACGCAACCCCGATAGACAGATGCAAAGATGCTGATTGTCCGGCATGCATGCGTGCAATACATTTGCACACCGAAGTTGCTGATACAAATGCATACATGCAGCTAGCTACTTAGCCACCTGCCTAGCTGCCCACCTGGCTGTGCTGCTAGCCGGCTAGCTAGAGCCAGTTACTAACTTGCCTACATGCCTACACACATACATACATGCACGAACACATGCCCAAGTGGATGCAGGCATGCATAGTTACTCACATCCATACACATGCACACATGCTTGTATGCATACATGCATGCATACATAGGTTCATACAATCATACGTGCATATTTTACACACGGATACATACATACATACATACATACTCCACCAACCAACCCACCTGCCACCTACGTAGACATACCAAGATCCCGAAGTCTTCCACCAGTCTAGTCGTGGGCTCCTTTCGGGTAAGGCTCGCTGGCCAAATCTTCGGCTCGCCATGTGGGAGCTTCACCACACAAGACAGACCCTATTGCCAAATTGCGAAAGGCAATATTTTGGAACACCTCGAATTTTAACATCGTTGCAGGCCGTACTCTATGTTTACAGGCAGAACAGCCTGAATGCAGACGCATATTTTCTTGAGCCAATGAACGACAGTAGGTGCAGGTGACTAGCTACATCTTCCACAAAATACACCCCCCGCGCATCTTAGTGCAACGGTTGAGGCGAAGGCGATGGAAGGAAAGACTAGTCACTAGACCGTCGTGAGCATATCACTTTGTGACAGCGAAAACAACTTGCAACAAAAGCAAATTATGCGGCCGATGTTTTGCGCCCTGTGCTGTTTGTACGAGAAGGTTAGCTACCAACCCGTTAGGGCGGTGCCGACGCTTAAATCTCACTTCACTACTAACCAGACGGCATCTAAATGTCTCAGAATACCATCCCGTTAGGGAGGTGATCAAGCTCGGCATAATGGGCCGTCGATCAGATGACCTCAGTAGATGCGGTCACGGCGGTTGGTCCTGTAGTTGTAGACCTCATGGACCCATCCTGACAAGAACCATTGGGCATGAGAGGTGTCCAGAATCGTGAAGCCATGTGGGTTGCCATGAGTAGGAATGGCATTCACGACTGAAGTAGGCTGGATGTAGTCTTCGGTCATCGCAGCGAACACCGCCCATTGGTACATGTCAACGCGGTGCCAGTCCATTCGCCTGGCAAGCGAAGGATCGATGATGTTGCCGGAAAGATCGTTCCCCAACACGAAGTTTGAGTACAACAATCCTGCGACCCTGAGCTGCTCAAAGAAGTTGACAACAGTCTCACGCATCCGGACCTGTCGGTCGGGGACATCTCTCGTCTCGAAGAATACGCCGAAGGTCGGTGGGTCATGGGGTCGCCGGCGGTAGGTCTCGGACCATTCGCGCCTTGTGCCAAGATCAACAGCAGAGGACGGTGTCTCGCTCACTGTTCCATCCATAGTGGTATCGGGAGCAACCGTTTCCGGTGCTGGACTGCTGAAGCCTGTACCAGCACGCATTGCATCCCAATCCGCGTCACTGATATAGCTGGACGGATCACGTGCCACACGCCTGGGCGGCGGCATCGCAGGCTCCCGAGGGGTGCGATCGGTAGATGAGCCCGCTCCATCTCCAGGGTTGGTCCGGATGTGGACCTCGGTCGGACGATGTCTGGCGATCGGGGACCTTGTGCGATTGCGCTCTGCTGTACCCGATGCACGCTCGTCAGAGCTGCGACCTCGTCGTGCAGGAGATGCCGGAGGCTCAGGTGGGCGACGTTCGGACGCGGGTGCCGAAGTGGTCAACCTCACGTGGCCGCTCTCCCCGATGCGCTTGTCCATGTAGTACTGCTGGTACCGACGATAGTAAGGGGTATTGGCCAGCAACTCGTTGAGCTGACGTTTGCCAAGTCCCTGTGCCTCAGCGGGTACCTGCAGATCTCTCTGGGTGCGAAGAGAAGGATTTGTCTTCTCGATCCTTGTCCGGCTCAGCGGCAGTTGTGCCTTGAAGAAAGTAGCCAGCTCGGCCATGATCGGCAAGATTTCATTCTGCACGACGATGTATTTCTCCCCATCGTACTGCAGGATGGAAAACTCATGCTGGTTCGACTTCACAGCCTTGATGAGAACTGCAATCTCATTGATGGTGTAAAACCGATCATGAAAACAAATCAGACACTCCGTGAGGAGGTCGATCTCAAGCTGGCCTGTCACCCAGAGGAGGGCAACCTTTCCAGTGGCATCATAGTAGGTGGACGAACCATGCCCTTTTCCTTTGCCCTGAGGATCAGGAAGCCTCACGTTAGCGAAGCGTTGCAGCGCCTCGACAGTGTGAAAGCTGAGACCCATTTTGGCGTAGTTGTGAGCAGTGATGGGGTCCACACTGTATTGCCCCTGCGGAGTGGTGTTGTGGAGCTTCTCCGCTCTCTTCTGCTGATTGAGGACCTTCTGGCGGATGCCAGACGCTGTGCTTTGGATTCGTTCCCTTTCTTCTGGCCCTTGAATCTTCACACGCGCGTGCTTGAGCCCCGAGGATGGCTGCAAGTCAATGATGTTGACCTGCCTGCCCTCTCGGGCGGCGCTTCGCCGGAGTCTGTCGGGCTCGGCGATAATCGCAAGGTCGGTCATCTCGATGAGGCGACGTTGGCAACCTGGACAGGAGATCATTCCGTCGATGTACTTGTGATTGCACGAGCTGCAATGGTACCCGGGGTAGAGTACCAACTCCTGTTTGATCCAGTGCCTCGGTTCAATCCTCTGGCGAAGTCGGATCCGCTTGCCTTCCATGGATGGCCAGACGTGGATGCCGATTCCGAGCGAGCCGTCATATGTTTCGATGAGCTGGTCATCGTTCTTCCTTCGCTCGATGACTTCTTCGCCGACCTCGCTCAAGATGTCCGCCGAAATGCGAAACGGGGTCTTGCAGTCGATTGCGACCGGCGCCCACTCAGCGATGGTGAGATTCTCGGCGGTTTCCAACAAGTCGAGAAAACAGTTGTGCTGCTCCAAGGCAAATTGATCTGGACCAAAGATGTACTTGTGGCTTCCATCCTTGTTCCAGCTCGCTAGAGCGGAGTCAATGTTCCGACGGAACGCCTGGTAGGCCGGATTGACCCACACAGGCTCTGCTGTGCCCCGCTGATAAGCGTAAACCAGATATCGATTGCTGATCCAATCTGGCGTCTCCAGTGCCCCGGAGCGAGTCTCGAAGAGCCGGACGCCGTCCAAGACGGCCATTTGGAGATCGATGGCGAACTCGACGTCCGCCGCCTCGCGAAGGCCCGCATTGTCATCCCTTTTCCATTCTGGTTGCTTTGACATCATGACAAAAGCTCTGCTACCACTCTCGTGGAGCGCGGCACCACCTGGCAACAATCCGTATCTGATGATATCTGGGAAGTGCCTCATGAAGGTGCCGTGGTAGCCCAGTTTGCAAGGGAAATCGACAAACTCCTGGGAGTACATGTCGAACGGATGAATCTTAGGCCGAGTCGCTAGACTGGCGTCCCATGGCACAAAGGAATGCACCACGGAGTGGATGTCGGCGAGTTCGGTATCGTCACCGAAGAGCCCCGACCAATGCCCATGGATAGCCCGAGCTCGAAGCACGTCAAATTCCTGATCATTGTGCTTCTGAATGTACACTTCGTAGCGGGCTTTCCCGTCGACTGGAGTCTTAAAGACTTCGAAGATCTGGGAGACCTTGAGCCCGTTCCAGATCTGGCTAAGGGCATCGATGAACTCTTCCCAGTCCATCGAGAGGTCGTTCCGACGGATCGTCACTGTCGGCGTTCTATTGCCGTACTCGGGCTTGTTGGTGAAGCCTCTAAGGACGAATGCACACTTCTTGCCCAGTTTGAAGCGCTGGCCCTCACTGAGGTGTCGATGATCAGACGCGAAGGGCGGCAGGTCCGGGCCTGACAACCAAAACTGACCATCCCTTCCGGGAGGTGACGCTTCTGCCTTGTCACTGGCAGCGTGCTCCGCCTTTGGCGTAGGTGCCGATTTCACAGCGGTGATAGGCATCTTCTTAGGAGGCGGTGGCTGCAACGGTTCAGTAGGCTTTGCGCCAGACGATGCAGACTTCCCAGGAACTTCCTTAGGCGGGAGTGTGCCAGACGCCGACGATGAGGATGCAGCCTGCGGCACGGCAGGAGGTACAGCATGAGCCTTCGTGGCCAAAGGTAAGATACCAGTTGCCTTAGGCTCCGCGTCAGCGGGCCGCGCCTT